CTGAATTGTTAGCACCTAAAAAACATAAAATCAGCCCGTTTAGAAATATTACATTAATATTAGATAATGATGATTTGAGAAAAAAAAATAAAACCTGTACCTCTGTGTACGGTTGCCCTTTCCAAGCTCTGGTAACCTGCAGTCATGTGGGGTGGCAGATCACCATGGCAGTACTGTGATCTGAAGACATTGACCATCCTTTGACCCTGCGTCCAGACTGGACCTGGAAGATGAGAATAAAAACGGTCACTTTTAGAAAGCACTGGAGGATATTATAGTTTTTAGGCATGTATGGTTTTATTAATATTTACAAAACATGACTAAAAACTACAATATCCCCAGTGCTTTAAAAAGTTGTACAATTAGTGGTTCAAAATGGGACATTAAGAGAATTATTACATTGGTTGAGTGAATTTTCTCAAGAGTTACCATTGTTGTAGTGGATGGGGGGCATCACAGGTGGATTAAAGGCCCTCTGGTTCCTATACGGATCTGTTAAAATAAGAATGTTTTGAATTACTTTGAGACGGGAAAAAAAAAAATCTGTGAGAACTTATACCATCATTCAAAAGTTTGGGCTTTGCTGCATCAAGATTGCATTTATTAGCTCAAAATAGACTAAAAACAGTAATATTGTGAATGTTTCAATAACATATTAGCCAACATGTTAGTCATAACAATGTGCAAAGAAAGAAGCTTTTAATAAATAATTTTAACGTGCGTGAATAAATCCAAATATCCAGTGACAGGAATGTATCCAGTCATGTAAAGTGCTTGGCCATCTGCATCAAACATTCCACAATGATGCACTTAAATCATTTTAACTGAATTCATAAGAAATGAATCCACAATCCCAAGGTCTTAACATTTTGATGTTCATAACCAAGATATTTCCTCACAACATAAGGAATTATAATGTTAAAAACCATCACTAATAAAATGATTTAGAAATATAAACTGGAACAGGATCCAAAAATACCATTTCTAAAGGATACGTGTTATTTTCATCTAAGAATTCAAATAACACTTTTTTAAAGGAGAAATGGGAGGCCGAAATTAAGAGAACAATTTCTCGAGACTTGGCAGGAAGCTTGTGGAGAGGCACATCTTGTGACCAGCTCCAATATCTGAAGGGACTAAGGAGTTCAAATGGAAGATAATAAGTTTTTTTTTTTTTTTTTTACTCCACAGCAAATAAGCAAAATGGAACCATCCTGTTCAGACAAATGTTGGAGAAACTATGGACAGTATGTTGGTAACCAAACCAATATTTTGTGGTTGTCCACAATTGTGACATTATTGGAAGGATGTAATTATTTACGTAAATATGATCAATATTTGCTAAATAAATCTAATACAAATTTACAGAGCCCAATCTTTTGGTTGATAATGTACCTGGATGGCGAGCAGGAGCACTTGAAGTAGCCGTTTGCCAGCTATGGTTCTCAGGTAATGGTGGGCGATTATCTGCATTAATCTGGTCTGCAAAAAAAGAACAAGCATAAATGGGTGACTAAATGTTCCATGCATCCTTAAGTAAGCCATTAACTAAAAATGTGATTATTTGAACTGTTTAGTTGGAATGGATCAATATATTTCACTTTCAAAATTATAGAAACTTATTTTGCAGCTTTAAACCACCAGATAAACAATTGCAGTAACTCAATCTGCATCTCTCACCCAGTTTTGGCAGTTCCACACCCCACGCCTGTGCAACATGCTCCAGGAGCAGGCAAGTGATCTTTCTGTGGGCGACGGCATTCCAGTGTACACCGTCTGTCATCCGGTGTTGCAGGCTGAAGCGAAACTGGAAGTGCAAGTCTAGCACATCAAAGCCGAAGCTGTTGGCAAGAGTGGCTCCAAAGTAATTGGCTTCAATCACATCAAATCTTAATGAAGGACCCATATGTTCAATCTGAGTTTGTGGACGAGATAAAAAAAAAGGATTATTGACTCTCACCACTGTTCATGATGGTTCATCCCCTACCATTATTTTTTTTTGTAACCCACCTCTGGGATCAGGAAACCTCCCAAAATCTTCTTTCCCAGGGGCATAGTCATGTTCCACACAACCAGGCTTTCTTTTGGCAAAAGGATCTTTAGCTTCATGAAGAACTTGTTGAGGTTTTCTTTGTACTCTGAGGCCCATTCACGGCTGTACCTGTGCAGTGTAGTAAAACAAAAATCATGTTAATTTAAAATAATTATGAAATGTTCAATTAACAAGATGTAATGACGAGCACTCCTACCTGGATATGTCCCATACACAAGAGTTGATGATCACCAGGTCTGGTTTTATGCCCTGTTCAAAGTCAGCTAGGATGCTCTCCATATATCTTGAGAAAACTTGAGTCACAAAATAGAAGCGGATCAAGTGGTGATCGGTGCGGTACTGTCTCACTTCTCTATACAAAATGCCGTTATGCATCTGTCCCAACCGACCACCTTCCACCAGGCAATCCTGTTCGAACGAAAACTCACCCTAGGATATATGGGTAAGATAGATGCATCATCAGACATTGCTTAACCAGTTAACCCTATAAAAGACAATACTTCTATTCTTCACATACACAGCAGCTTCATTTGCTCCAATTTATTGATTACATGAAATTAAAATGACCAAAACTGTATTTGTTATTAAGCCAAAAGAGCTTTGGACATGTTACCTGGTTTATAGTGGTTATTGGATGGTAAACAATTTACTATGCCCCAAAAACAAGCTTGACAACCTTAAAGTGATATGGCCACCTGGAACTGTAGCTGGTATAAGTTAATTTGGCCCACCAGTTTAAACCATAGACAGTAAAAGAGGTTTTCACTAGCTAAAAACAAGCTGCCATATTGGCTACCAAATATAGTCCCTTACTCTGGATTTTACAACAAAATAATTAAGATAAATTAAAAAAAATTCAATGTTTGAGCGTGTACATTTTATGATTAAAAGGTGACAATAATGAAACATGCATTCAGATACTGACCTTGTTTTTTAACTGGGACAAACTTAAATATGCGTCTCTCTGTAGGATTAGGACTAAATCCTTGTAGACAGAGCGCTGAACTGGAGAGAAAATTAATTCATTATTTAAAAAAAAAAAAAAATCAAGTGTAGTTTAGAGAGGAAAATCACGAAGGTCAATACTAACTATCACAATATTAATCTCCGTCAATACTCACTTGAGTCTCCTAACACCACAACAAACTTGTTGTGAAGCAGTTGAGCCACAGGCCTCATCGTGCCGTTACCTGCCTCACATTGAAATCATACCGTTAATTGAAAAGCAACACACACACAAACTTTGTAATAACAAATGACAATTCGATACACGTTTGGTTTGAAACAGTAACCATGGATTCCGTGTATCAAACACCATAAATCACCAACATACCTGTTAAACCAAGAATTCCGTAAAAGATGAGCGAGGTTAAATTGAGTGTCCTGTCGTTAGTTACTCGTAACTGTCAAGGCCGTGAAGTAAGATATTGCGCCCCTTGCGGTTAATATCGGCATCGGCAACACATGCTAATTAGCTTTTTAGACTTCCTTTGGTCGGTCTAATTAAAGTGAACCTCAAAAGGTTAAAGACAAGAGATTTACCCACAACAGTTTTACCCACAACACCAAAAGCAAATAAATTATAACGCCAGACTATCGAAATGTATTTCAAGAGAATGATGTCAAAAATCAAACTACCTTTTCATTGCATTGCAATAATTATATTTTGTTCCCTGTATTATAATTTGTCCAAAATTCTGAACCATAGCAAACGTAAAGTAGGCTATACTTTATAGAAAACATTTACTAACTTACAAACAGACTAATACTGTACTTATGAACAGTATACTTGCGTTTTGTTATTTTTTTAAAAGTAATTAATTTCCAAATATTTTAGAAAAGTGGCACCATGATAAAAAAGTAGAGAAATTATACAAATGGTAAAATCGGTACAAATATGTGTAAAAAGAAAGTGTAAAGACTGTATAGTCAACAGACCTAACCAAAATGTGAAATAAAGAATTTTTGAATGCCTTTTTATCCCTATTGTTTACTTATTGTCTGTTCATTCCAACTTCATTGACATTTTTATTTCTAAACTTAATTTGTGAAATCTTTGCACATATTTCTCTCACATTTCTCATACAAAAAGGCAGAAACAATTCATTGTCAATTACAGCATAATATTAATATTAAAAAACACTTCTCATGTCACTGGCTTTGGCATTTCTCATTTGTAAGTATTGAAGTATCTGCTAAATAAATGTTGGCTACATTTAAACAACCTGAACATTCATACAATCAATTTACAAATCCACCTATAGAATTTACAAGTGAAGTAATCAAACAACAGCCATATATTAATGTCACCAGTCACATACAATACCAATCTGAAGTTTATGTAAAGTGCTTTTTTATGCTGAGGTTTATTGCTAGGTCTGCAAAAGACCTCTAACCCTCAAGGCCAAACAGCGTCACATAGTCGATCTGTCACAAATTCATCATTGCAAGGCAGCTTCTTCATGAACAGCTTTCATTCCTTAAAATCCTATGTCTCACCAAACTCGCCAATCCACAACTGTTGTTCACTTTAAGTCTCGTCCAACGAATGGGATCTCTGTTCAGTGTTGTTCATTAAATGCTAGCTTCCTGAACTCGTCACATTTGAGATCTTCCATGATTTCACCAAGATCAGATATCCATTTTTTTTTTCTTAGACACACAAATAGATCAGGTGTTAAAATGTTTTAAAATGAGAAATCCAAAGATAATTGTGTACAAAATTTGTACAAAACAAAAATGGCTTACCTGTTTTTCTTAAGAATTATTAAAGGCCTCCATTCTTTTTGAAGTAATTTCATACCTTTTCCTTATTTTTAAAGATGAATTTTAATTCGCAGTTCAGTCACATTTGTAGGTTGGTGATTACCATCATGCAAAAGTTTGAGTAATTTCCTCTAAAGGGTTAAAAAAAAACATAAATAAATAACCATACACAAAAAGGCTATACAGCATTTCTTAATGTTATTAAAGTCAATAAAGCATTTCCAGTTTCATTTCCCATTAGCTTCAGAGTGATAAAACAAATCAAAATGCATCAAAATAAATGTTTTTTTATATAGATTATAGGCATGGATAAGCAAATGGCTGGGACAAACAATCTCTGAATTTATAAACATTCTTTGGTTATTTTTGAGGTCAGCATATACTGTACTCTGCAAGTATTCTTATTGCAGATTTTTTATCTATTGACCAAACAAGAATATGTGAAGTTTATTAAAAATCTACAAAGGCAAAAGTATAACAAATTGAGAGTTTTTTTTAAGGAAAAGATTTTGCTACAGTGTTGTGTATTGTGGCCATACACAATGAGATGTCTTCTCGATGATTTAATATCTGTAAGGATGTGGTCTCTCTCGAGTAAATGGATTTCGATGTTTCTGCCTCATGACTAAGTTGTTCACTGGCCAGTACGGGGAAGCAGCTGAATTGTTAGCACCTAAAAAACACAATCAGCCTTTTAGCACAATTTGTAATTACATTAATATTAGATCATGATGATTTGAGAAAAAAATAAAAACCTGTACCTCTGCAAAAGGTTTCTCTTTCAAAGCTCTGGTAACCTGCAGTCATGTGGGGTGGCAGATTACCATGGCAGTACTGTGATCTGAAGCCACTGACCACCCTTTGACCCTGCGTCCAGACTGGACCTGGAAGATGAGAATAAAAACAGTCATTTTTAGAAAGCACTGGAGGATATTGTAGTTTAGGCATGTATGGTTTTATTAATATTAATAAAACATGACTAAAAACTATATCCCCAGTGCTTTCTAAAAGTTGTACAATTAGTGGTTCAAAATCAGCCATTATGAGAATTATTACATTGGTTAAGTGGATTTTCTCAAGAGTGGTTGTTTGTTACCATTGTTGTAGTGGATGGGAGGCATCACAGGTGGATTAAAGCCCCTCTGGATCCTATACGGATCTGTAAAAAAAAAGAAGAAGCATGTTTTGAATTACTTTGAGACTTTCGATCAGTTACCGACAGAGGAGCATCTTGGCGGCAGGGATTAAATCTTAAAAAAAAAGTCTGGGATAAGAAAATCTAAAGTGTGGATGCACACCATCAGAAAGGATATTCTCCTAGGCTGGATTTAGCAATTTAGTCATTTTGCAAACATGTTCTGCATCTTGTGACTTGATTCTGACTTGTTTCGTTTTAGATTTTTCGTTTTTATACATTTTTTCCTATAATTGTGTGATGTCCTATACATCGTGGCTTTAAAGTGGAAATGAGGCAGTCAGTCAAGTTTCCATTATTTAGATTTTCACTCTAATAAAAAAAACTAAAGATGAAAATGGATTATTGAATAAAAACGGTCACTTAAATAAAATACTCAACATTTGAACTATATCAAACCTTTCATCTAAGTTAGACATGAATTTTTAACATTAACTGTTCTTGTCTTAGGACAACTTTTTGATTCACTTTCAAATGTTGATAAACAAAAAAATAACCAATAGAAAAAAAAATAAACAAACATGACTAAAAACTACAATATCCCCAGTGCTTTAAAAAAGTTATCCAATTAGTGGTTCAAAATAAGCCATTATGAGAATTATTACATTGGTTGAGTGAATTTTCTCAAGAGTGGTTGATTGTTACCATTGTCGTATTGGATGGCGGGCATCACAGGTGGATTAAAGCCCCTCTGGACCCTATACGGACCTGTTGAAAGAAAGGCATATTTTGAAAAAGTGCGTGCCATGCACGTAAATTATATTAAATGCATCCGTGCGTCAGGTCTTAAAGTCACAGTAGTCTAATATAACAGCTGCCAAATTATGAAATGCTATTAAAAACATCTATATGGTAGTTATTCCCCTATGGTATCGGTGTCCAAATTGTGGCCAGTAAAAATGCTGAGTGGCTAGTAACTTTGGAAAACCTCTAGCCACAGTGGCTGGTGAGCAAAAAAGTAAATGTGAAGCCCTGCACATGATCCTTGAGAAATACATCTGATAATGCTGATTTGGAGCTAAAAAAAAAAAACATTTCCTATTATAATCAATGTTCATGAGTTCACACTTACATACAATTAAAGGGAGTAAAGTTTAATGTGTATTTGGCGTGCTCGGAATTTGGGCTGAACACAAGAGTATTCCCCCCTGTATGTAAATGTTTAGGACTAAAAGAGTGTAGTAGGGGTGGAGGAGGAATGCTCAAGAGTGGTTGATTGTTACCATTGTTGTAGCAGATGGCGGGCATCACAGGTGGATTAAAGCACCTCTGGTTCCTATACAGACCTGTTAAAAAAAGCATGTTTTGAATTTCAAAGTTACTTGGAGGGGGGGAAAAAGTTATATATTTTTAATGTCTGTAATTTGTAAAGTAAAAATTCCTCTGCAAATCCAGTGTGAATAAGCCTTAAGACTCCATTTATTATCAGAAATCACACTGTATGATTTTTTAACTATTTATTTGTATGATACAGCTGCAAATAAGTATTTGAACACCTGTGAAAATCAATGTTAATATTTGTAAGCAAGTAAAAACTTTATTGTTCCACGGAGGGAAATTTGTCTTGGGCCATCACCCATGCTACCGTCAATTTACAGTTAACATACAACAAATTTACAAACCAGACAATATTAATAATATAAATTGAATAAGTTACAGCTCCATACCACCACTATTTAACATCTTTACAGACAATAGGATAAATGAGTTTTTGAATCTGTTCAATCTGCAGCGAGAAAATCTAAACCTCCTCCAAGAAGGCAGCAACTCATACTCTGTGTACTTCGGGTCATTGTCATGGTCAGGGAAGGAGGTTGTTCCCCAAAATCTCGCAATACATGGCCCCAGTCATACATACAGTGCAGTCACCCTGTCCCATGTGCAGAAATACACCCCCAAAGCATGATGCTACCACCCCCATGCTTCACAGTAGGGATGGTGTTCTTGGGATCATCATCATTCTTCTTCCTCCAAATACGGTTAGTTGAATTATGACCAAAAAGTTCTATTTTGGTCTCATCTGACCACATGACTTTCTCCCATGACTCCCCTAGATCATCCAAATGGTCATTGGCAAACTTAAGACGGGCCTTGACATGTGCTGGTTTAAGCAGGTGGAAACTTCCGTGCCATGCATGATTTCAAACCATGACATCTTAGTGTATTACCAACAGTAACCTTGGAAACGGGGGTCCCAGCTCTTATCAGGTCATTGACCAGCTCCTCCCGTGTAGTTCTGGGATGATTTCTCACCTTTCGTAGGATCATTGAGACCCCACAAGGTGAGATCTTGCATGGAGCCAAAGTCCGAGGGAGATTGACAGTCATGTTTGGCTTCTTCCATTTTCTAATGATTACTCTAACATTGGACCTTTTTTCACCAAGCTGCTTGGCAATTTCCCTGTAGAAAATTTCAGACCCCTCCATGATTTCTAAGTGGGAGAACTGTGTTCAAATACTTATTCTCCTCACTGTATATCTGATAATGCTGATTTGGTCCTAAAGAAACATTTCCTATTATAATCAATTTTTAAAACAGTTGTGCTGCATCGTATTTTTCTGGAAACCAAGATAAATTGAACGATTCTTTGATGAACAAATTTCAAAAGAACAATTTATTCAGTAACAATGCAAGTCTTTGCTATCACTTTGTTTTGAGCAATTTAATACATCCTTGCTAAATAAAAGTATTACTTTCTTAAAATTACATAAAAATGTACAGAGCCCAAACTTTTGGTTGATAAACTACCTGGATGGCGAGCAGGAGCACTTGAAGTAGCTGTTTGCCAGCTATGGTTCTCAGGTAATGGTGGGCGATTATCTGCATTAATCTGGTCTGCAAAAAAAAAAAAAACAAAGCAAAAAAGAACAAACATAAATGGGTGACTAAATGTTTCATGCATCCATCCTTAAGCAAGTCATTAATTAAAAAATATGATTATTTGAACTGTCTGGTTTGTATGGATCAATGTATCCTACTTTTAAAATTATATAAACTTATTTTGCAGCTTTAAACCTCAAGATAAACAATTGCAGTAACTCAATCTGCATTTCTCACCCAGTTTTGGCAGTTCCACACCCCACGCCTGTGCAACATGCTCCAGGAGCAGGCAAGTGATCTTTCTGTGGGCGACGGCATTCCAGTGTACATCGTCTTTCATCCGGTGTTGCAGGCTGAAGCGAAACTGGAAGTGCAAGTCTAGCACATCAAAGCCGAAGCTGTTGGCAAGAGTGGCTCCAAAGTAATTGGCTTCAATCACATCAAATCTTAATGAAGGACCCATATGTTCAATCTGAGTTTGTGGACAAGATAAAAAAAGGATTATTGACTCTTACCACTGTTCATGATGGTTTATCCCCAACCATTATTTTTTTGTGACCCACCTCTGGGACCAGGAAACCTCCCAAAATCTTCTTTCCCAGGGGCATAGTCATGTTCCACACAACCAGGGTCTCTTCTGGTAAAAGGGTCTTTAGCTTCATGAAGAACTTGTTGAGGTTTTCTTTGTACTCTGAGGCCCATTCACGGCTGTACCTGTGCAGTGTAGTAAAACAAAAATCATGTTAATTTAAAATAATTATGAAATGTTAAAGTAACAAGATATAATGACGAGCACTCCTACCTGGATATGTCCCATACACAAGAGTTGATGATAACCAGGTCTGGTTTTATGCCCTGTTCAAAGTCAGCTAGGATGCTCTCCATATATCTTGAGAAAACTCGAGTAACAAAATAGAAGCGGATCAAGTGGTGATCTGTGCGATACTGTCTCACTTCACTATACAAAATGCCGTTATTCATCTGGCCCAACCGGCCACCTTCCACTAGGCAATCCTGTTCGAACGAAAACTCACCCTAGGATTATATGGATAAGAAAATACATCATCAGACATTGCTTAACCAGTTAACTCTATAAAAAGATAATATTTCTATTCTTCACATACACAGCAGTGTCATTTGCTCATATTTATTGATAACATGAAAAAAAAAAAAAAGACCAAAAAAGTATTTTGCAAAAATATCTAATGGACATGCTACCTGATATTTAGCTGGTCATTGGATGGTCAACAAGTTATTATGTCCCAAAAAAGCAAGCTTGACAACCTTAAAGTGATATGGCCATGCACCTGGAACTGTAATTGGTCTAAAATGGCCCACTAATTTACACCACAGACAGTAAAAGAGGTTTAGCTAAAAACAAGCTGCCATATTGACTACCAATAGTCTCTTAATCTGGATTTTACAACTAAATAATTAAGATAAATTTAAAAGATTCAATGTTTAACCGTGTAAATATTATGATCAAAAGGAAACAACTAATGCAACGTGCTTTCAGATACTGACCTTGCTTTTTAACTGGGACAAACTTAAATATGCGTCTCTCTGTAGGATTAGGACCAAATCCTTGTAGACAGAGCGCTGAACTGGAGAGAAAATTAAGTCATCCTTCTTATTTAAAAAAGTGTAAGTTTAGAGAGGAAAATCACGAAGGTCAATACTAACTATCACAATATTAATCTCCGTCAGTAGGCTACTCACTCGAGTCTCCTAACACCACAACAAACTTGTTGTGAAGCAGTTGAGCCACGGGCCTCATCGTGCCGTTACCTGCCTCACATTGAAATCATAGTATTGAAAAGCAAAATAACAAACTCAAACTTTGTAGTAACAAATGACAATTCGATACACGTTTGGTCTGAAAGGCTAATCCGGGATTCCATGTATCAAACATCACCAGAATACCTGTTAAACCAAATACTTCGTAAAAGATAAGCGAGGATAAATTGAGTGTCAACTGTCAAGGGTGTGAAGAAAAGTAAAATATTGCTCCCTTGCGGTTAATATCGGCAACACGTGCTAATTAGCTTTTTAGACTTCCATTCGGTCGGTCTAATTAAAGTGATCTCGTCTTTAACCGATTTAAAGCTATGATTTAAAGAGGACATTAAAGGGGTGGTTCAGAATTTAGGACATCGGGTCTCATTTATCACTTGAGACCGTTTTCAAAAAAAATAATCCAGTCGTTACAGTTGCATGTCAGCTTCCAAACAGCTTAATTTATTTCTTTAGTCGATCTGTCACAAATTCATCATTGCGAGGCAGCTTCATGAACGGCTTCCACCGATTCTTTATCCCATGTCTCAACAAACTCCAATCCACAACTGTTGTTCACTTTAAGTTTCGTCAAACGAATGGGGTCTGTTCAGTGTTGTTCATGAAATGCTTTAATAATTTCCTGAACTCATCACACGTTTAATTCTGCTAAATTAGTTGATTATTTTTCAGTGCATCGATGTTGCTTGAGCGAGAACTTGCTCGCTTCTTCTAAATAAGCATTACTAAAAGCCAGACATTTTGTCTTAAAATAAAAGTTTGCTTTGTTGTTGATTATTTAGAATATATATGTTGAAAACATTTACGGTGATCATAAATACAGGGCACATTACTATTTTCAGATATTATTGCTGGCTATTCTCAGGGGTCCAAACAACATCTTTTTCAAGATAATATAGTATAATATTTCCATAAGTCGCCTACTTATTTATCTCTACAAATATATTACTCTTGTGGTATAAATAATGTTCACTTCTTGGTGTGTTTTTGTTGTTGTTTTTTTGTTTTTTTTGCAAACTGAGGTATGAGTTGCCATCCATCAAGCTAAACGCGTTTTGAACCTGGTATATTTCTTCAAGAATCATGCTCATTTTTTTCCTTTGCCTTTGTTTTTTTTCTTCTCATCCACCAGATCATCTCATATTAATGCTGCAGTGTGAATGCTTTCATCTCTTTTCTCAAAAGAGGTTCCCTGAGATCGGGCCTTAAAACTGAATCTCATGTCTTTTTGCCTTACCAAGCCTTTCTGATTTACACGCGCATACCGCTCCACAAAGCTGGCGAACGATCTCAGCTTCAGTGCGGAGCTCCTGGTCTCTGCTTCGTTCCAGTTTGCAGACATTTGTTCGTCCTTTCTTTGTTAATGACGAACACAAACTTTCTTCTAAGAGCAACAAAGTTGCGCGATGGTGTCATCAATATGACGGCATTTGACTTTTGTTCACACAGCGCGTGTTCTGGGACTGATTCCGGCAATATTAGGTCCCCAACCCAACATCAATCCCTGTATCAATCCCGGGTCGTGTTTGCCTTCACACAGAAGGCGTTCTGGCAATTTCCCAGCAATTTCCCGAGATCAACGCGCTGTGTGAATGGGGCTGAGGTAACTTTCAAATTCAAAACATGCTTTTTTGAACAATGTCTGTATAGGAACCAGAGGTGCTTTAATCCACCTGTGATGCTCGCTATCCGCTGCAACAATAGTAACAATCAACCACTCTTGAGCATTCCTCCTCCACCCCTACTACACTCTCCTAGTCCTAAACATTTACTTACGGGGGGAATACTCTGGGTTCGGCCCAAATTCCGAGCCCGGAGTTCTTCCCTCCAACATGACACCATGACTTCTGCGTAAACATACACGCCACTTTCGAGTCAAGTGGTATGTTATCTCTACGCATTTTGTGCTATCCGCGTGTATCCGCGTGTATGTCTACGCCATTAAAGGGTTAGTTCACCCAAAAATGAAAATTAAGTCATTAATTACTCACCCCCATGCTGTACCAACCCCGTAAGACCTTCGTTCGTCTTCGGAACACAAATGAAGATATTTTTGATTAAATTTGAGAGCTGTATAACTACCACATTGGCTCCTAAGGGACTGCCTCTTGACGGCCCAAAAAGTCAATGAAGAAAATGTTTAAATATCCCAAGTGACTACCGTGGCTCAACTATATGTTTATCAAGCGACGCGAATACTTTTTGTGCGAAAAAACAAACAAAAATAACGAGTTTATTCGACTATTTCTTTTCTTCCTTGTAGGCCAGAACGAGACTTCCTTAGATTTCCACGACGCATGCGCGAGATTTGCGATCTGCTCACACCAGCTTACACCACTTCAGATCGCAATTCTCGCGCATGCGTCGTGGAAATCTAAGGAAGTCTCGTTCTGGCCTACAAGGAAGAAAAGAAATAGTCGAATAAACTCGTTATTTTTGTTTGTTTTTTCGCACAAAAAGTATTCGTGTCGCTTGATAAACATATAGTTGAGCCACGGTAGTCACTTGGGATATTTAAACATTTTCTTCATTGACTTTCTGGGCCGTCAAGAGGCAGTCCCTTAGGAGCCAATGTGGTAGTTATACAGCTCTCAAATTTAATCAAAAATATCTTCATTTGTGTTCCGAAGACGAACGAAGGTCTTACGGGGTTGGTACAGCATGGGGGTGAGTAATTAATGACTTAATTTTCATTTTTGGGTGAACTAACCCTTTAAGGTTCGCGTCATTCCGCGTGTCTGTACACGCGTCAAATGTCCAGTCATAAATGCCATTAACCCCAGTGACGGTTAAGTTTAGGGATGGGGTTGAGGTAAGTCATATATTTATATAACGTTAAGTCAACGGTGTTTATAAACACGCTGAAAAGCGATTATGCGTCTTGATAGCACGCCAAAAATGGAAATACGAATTGGCGTGTCATACACACGCTACTTCATGAGATCAGTCTGTTCCCTCGGACAGCACGCCAAATACACATTAAACTTTACTCCAGATGTTAGTATCCAGGTCCTCTTCCTCTCCATGACCCTGGCCCTCCATCTAGAGCCCTGCGCGGGACTGTTTTCTTCATCCCACTCCCGCCCACCGAATTTCTGACCATTACCGCTCGCTCCCGCAATGTATATGTTACATTCCTGCCCCTCTGCAATGTATATGTCCACTCCCACCCGCAAAATTCTGATAACTTAATCCCGCACTATAATAATGATGCATTAATTTTGTGTCTTCTGCCATCCCACAGAAAAAAACACGTATTTTGTATTGCTATTGTTTGTTCCGTTTCCCTGGCCTGCATGTATTCTGACGCACTGATCAGGAAGATGAATAGTAGCCTGGCTAGGCTATTGGGGACATCTAAAATGCTTAGATTACCGCACGTTTCTTTAGACTTCCAGACTTCTTTTATTTTAGCTATTAAAGTTTTCCGTCATAGGCTTTATTGGTCCTGGATTAAATGTGCAGAAAGCATGGATGAAAGCAGCTAGCCTCGGAGAACACAGAAAGACAAAACACACATAAATGTCAGACTTGCCTTGCTTAGGTTTTGTACTGTAAATACCTCGTTTGAGGTTCTTTTCCACATCATTTATTGACATCTCCATCATGTAGGCTACCTCCTGATCCTGCAATTTTTTTTAGCTGCCCATTCCCACCCGCAGCAAAGTTCAAACCGCCCGCTCCCATGAGATTTGCGTTGGGACCCGGTGGAACTCAATCCTAATGTAGCCCTCTACCTCCATCCCTCCCCCAAAACCACCACTGCTCCACCACCCTCCTGGACTGATGTTCACTGAGGACCATCTGGAATTTGCTCCTTAAGTGGGGGGTTCTGTCATGATTCCTGTCTTGTGTTCCCCAACTTCCACTTGTCATGTTTTGTGCCATGTGTTTGTAGTCCTTTGTAGTTTTTCCCTGTTGATTAGTTCATGATAGTTCCCAGGTGTATCTTGTTTCCTCATTACTTAGTTAAGCTCGTTTGTCCCTGTTTATTTATAGCCCTTGTGCTTCACTTGTTACTATGTCAGTTGTTGTATGTGTAATGGCTGCTTCTGTGATCCCCTGGTTTTGTTACTTTTAAATCACCCAGCGTTTAGATCCTCGTCTTCGCCTGCTTACCCCAGCTTCGTTACAATACCGGGTCATAATTGGAAAAAAAAACATTCCGAAATTTATATGAAACCCGAAGAAGTGTATTTGGCACAGAAAGACTCATTGTTATTAGTAGGTTGTTAATCTGTTGTGATTTTGTATTAATAGATATGATTTATTAAGTAATTGTATGATCAATGTTATTATTATTTTTGTTTTTGTAATGCTGTATTTTTTTAAATAACTTTAATTTTGAAATTTGTCAGTGGTGTTACTGGTGGTTCCTGACAGACTAATACTCTATGATCAGTCATTTTCAAAATGTTTTTATTGCTTACTTTATCACAAATTAAGAATGGGGATAAACATGAATTATGGGAGGCCTGAGCATTACAAAAGTTCTTTTAAACTACTATAATATTTCTGTGTGGGTATGTTAAACTTAAAGTGTCATCCATTTTTCCAACCAAATAAACAAAACACCAAATCACAGAATCTTAATAACACTGAAAAAGTAAAACAAGCAAAACAAATATTAAATAACTGCAAAGTTAAAATAGCTGGTAAAACTCTCTACACGTTTTAGAACACAAATATTTTCAGTAAAAGTGCACTTATATGCCTTATAGCTATCTGATATCTTATAATGAACTTAGAACTAACATAATATGAACATATGCTTTCAATCATCAATGAACGACCAAATGCAAAGGGTGCAATTTCTTGAATATCTGGGAACCTAAATTAATTTCAAGGGTTGTTCAACCTGTCATTTAGCGACTGAAGCAATCAACCAAGTGTTTGGAGTTCCACGGTCCAGCATTGTTGGCCAAGAACTGCACATTGACTAGAGCCTTGGTCTCCTGATACAGCTGGGCAGCCATCTAGACGTAATATAAAACAGATTAGCAGTTTACAACAGCAGATTGGTGCACAAAATGCCATATTTATATGCATGTAACCTCAGTTTTAACTAATAAAGTCAAACTCGCATACATTTAGATATTATTATCCATTCCCATACACATACTTTAGCATTGCGGTATGTGGAGAATGACAAAAAGTCACGGTGGCCTGCCACTGCTGAGACTTTTC